TACGTGTTTTGGGTAATTATTTCAACAACGTGTAAAATATGAATTATAGAATAAAGTGAACATCGTATAGAAAAATCCCTTTATTTACTCTTTAATTTACATATTAGGTTTATATTCTCTATCTTACATAGGTCTCGAGTTATTGGCGTTTGAAGAAGTTACACACCAGCGTTATCTTACAGGTTCCGTCGAGTGTCACGTGATTTTATAAACGTTATTCAACGTTAAAAAATGAAGGTCACGCGGAACGCTGGTTGTAAGCTTCTCGCTTTTGGACTGGCTCACCTCGTTTCCAAGGACGTGCCCTTGCAGATGTTAATAAAATGTATATTTTTACGAGTATAAAACTCCTAAATGGGTATTAACATCAATTAAAATCGTTTACGTGATTCATTTGCTCAGGTAAAATGCATTTCTTCACCTTGGGTTATGTTGGGTATTTTACGGGACGAAATACGTAAAAAAGCAACAAAATATTTTAGGATTCGATGCTCTCACGGCGTTGTAGCGCCGTGTAGTCTGGTAGAAGTTTACCAGCGTTTCAGAGGTCGTTGTTTGGCTCCCCTGATGATGGAGGCAGAAATAACCTGAGAAACGTTCGCATTCACCGTCTTTGAGAACACCAAATCTGGATTTGTTCACGGCATCGTAAAGTAACTGGCTGCTGACTGGACGACCGGGGTTTCGATCCCCGGCGAGGTAGAGGATTCTTTTCTCCAGCCACCTATCCAGTGGGTACCGGGGTCATTTCCCGGGGGTAAAGTTCTCACCTCCATCTAGCGCCGAGACCAAGAATGAGTAGGAGCTATACTAACTCTCCCCCCAAGCGCCTACATGGCGTATAGTGAGACAGCAAGTTAAGTACGCTTAGGTTATAGAACACCCGTCTCTCATCCCTACTTTTTGCATCTCTCTCCTGCTTTAACTCTTAAAAAGCGAGTGGGGTTTTTGGGGTACTCAGGGGTCGACAATCCTTCGGGAGAAGCGTATTGTGGGTTGCCTACGCATGGCAGGGTGGGCTAGTATCGCCAGGAACCTGAAGTGGCTGGCGGCTTTTGTTTTGACAGCGAGGCCACTGGCCTTGTGGTCTCTGAAACGTCTCACGCTCCCCGTGTCTGAAAGGACTGCCTTACGAGTCGGATGTACGTCGTATGAGTTGGGGGTCTAATCGCGTCATCTCTCTGGACTTGTGAAGTTCGTGACGAGAGTCATAGAGGCGCTGATTGTCGTGTGAATTCCCCTCCGTGTGTTCGCGAGGTACGTACGACGACACGCACCCACAGAACGTACAACGCGTAATAATCTGTTTCTTCGATGTCGGAAGGCGCTGATGCCAGCTAACACTGGAAAAAAGGAAGTGAATTGTGGAGGGAATTGTTTGGGAGTCACGTAAGTTGGATTTATTACATTTTAGTGTAACATATGGCATACGGTTTCCGTTTCAGATACGTTCATTTGCCTTTGTTTGATACATAAAAGAGTATTATAATATGAATGTTGTCCTGTTTCGAGTTTTGTTCCGTGCGCCATCTTTGCGGGCAGTTTCTTGTTCTTTTGAAGCTTTTGTACACATTCTCGTTTGTCATTACTGTTACTTGTTGTAATTTGCTTGGTATGGGGTAAAAAGATCTAATAATAATAATAATTCAATTTATAAATGTGCTTGACAGCTATAAAGGAAAGTTAGAAACAAAACACTTAACGTGAAACGTACAATAAAATACAATTAAAACCCAAAGCACATACAAGAGAGCTTTTTAATGCAAAAAGCTAAAACCAGTAACGAAATAAATATTTATTAAATACGCTAATATTCGTGCACAGAAAGGCACCTCGCTCAATGGGTGACCTTGAAATTTCGACGCGCGGTCTGTGATAGGCCCTGGCGTAACACGAATATCCAAATTTCCGTTGAATTCTTTCACTGTAAGAACCGTGATACTTAAGTAAAGTTGGATTAGCCTACACATCATTTGGACCAGGGTTCGTAGCCCGGGGGCAATACGTCCTGCGTCTGAGACCACTCACCCGCGTCTCGTGGTCTCGAATTTAGGAGCCTTTCCTCCACGCCCCTCCTACATCCTCATTACTTTGCCCCGTCAACATCTTCACTTTTTTGTTAATGATGAATCAATGCTGTAAGATATTTTTTTTACGAGTTTACAAATACGCGAAATTAAATTTGTAAGTAATTTAATTTGCACAATAACAGTCGTGATAATAAAATACCTTGCGTAAAGTAGAATATAACCTGATATCCTTTTTTTGTTGTTGAGATCGTGAGTCCATAAGCACTGGTTTGGTCTGCACGGTGTTTGAATCTATTAAGGAAAGTGGTTTTTATTGAGCGAGTTTGTGCTTTGCAAGTCTAAATATCGATTTGCTTTGACGTATGTCAGAGTTTTAGCAAAGAGAACTAGCAGTTAGTTCAACTGAAGATTCAGGAAGGCGATCAGACACTGAGAGATAGGCCGTACTAAGTTGAGGTTGCGTTGACCAGTGTCTTAGCACACAGCCAGAAGGTGTATACTGCCGGCTTCCCGCAACGTCTTCAAGAGGCGGACCATTGTTTGCTTCTCAATTGAAATAAAATACATTTTCGGGCAAACGTATTTATTTATAACTCAATATATCGTCCACAAGTATTTGGGTTTCTTGTATCGAAGACGGCTGTGTTAGCTCCGTGTAGTCTGGTAGAAATCGACGTTTCAGGGGTTTTCCTGGGTCTATCATTACTTATCGTCCTGATGATGGAAGCAGTAAGGACCTATGAAACTTTAGTAAACTTGGTGACGCTACGGCCCACAAAACCTGAGAATCTGCTTCTTGGAATTTCCCTTCTGGTGTTGACGGAAGGGAGAGTTAAAACTGTTACTCGGGAGTTACGTGTTTTCGAAGAGAGTAGCTAAATCAGTTGAAGCTGGAAATTTATTTGAATCTTATGCTAGTTTGCGACTGCCGGCGAAGTGTGAAATTACAAGCAATAACTTACAGTCAAGGGTTTGATAAGTGTGGAAGTAATGGTTCAACTATTGACAATTTGGTACCATTCTTCTCGAAGCTTTCCATCTGCAAACGGATCTGCATATCCAACAGAAAAGAGGGAATTTTTTTTTTTTTGCAAAGAATACGGGCGTAAGGGGGAAAAAGTAATGAATTTGGTACCTCTGCAGGTTGCCACAGAGGTCGTGGGTTGACTGTCTGGGTTGGTTTGCGGTCCTAACTAATGAGTTCCCATTTATAAGTCTGAAGAACTTGATGTAAGGAATGGATTTAGTGGGCGTTAATGAATGAATCTTAGAAGAGCGAAAGGCGAAAGTGTATTGGGTAGTAGATAATGGAATTAAACAGGAAGACGGACTGGATTTGGTTCTCATATAACCCCTTAGCTTTCGCGCAACCATGTATCTTACGTAAATGCTAGATTTCGAGCTTATTGGACATGATTTCCGGGCTGTTGGTTCTTGGATAAATCGGAGGGTGGATATTGAACGCGAAGTTTTTCTTACGTCTGTAGCCAGAATCCCTGCCGTAAGTGCGCCATATTGGATTTCAGACGCTTCTGGGATTAATTTCCAAGGTCCAGGCCTTGGTCTCTGATCTCGGACGTCTGGATTCGTGCCCGTGGCACTCGGACGGGTTTTTCTCGAGGCCTTCGGTTTCAACCTGTCTTTCATCTGTGGGACGGACAAAGCACTGTGCCACGTGATTGCGACGAAATGTCCAAGTTTGATTTTTATTCTGTTCACGGTAAAACATTTTTATAATACTTCTAAATTCATCATACGTATGACATCCTTTGCATTTGATACAGCGTTGTTATATGGCAGTACAAATAAGTTAATATTTACTGCTTTGGGATAATAGCGAACAGGACGCTCTGATGATGGAGGCAGTATGACCTCTGAAACGTTGGTTGACATCGACCAGACTACACGGCGCAATAATCCAGAAGACAGAAATCTTCATACTCTGATGACGGAGGCAGTATGACCTCTGAAACGTAGGTGGAAATATACCGGACTGCACGCCGCAATAATCCAGAAGACAGAAATCTTAAATAAATCCACTTCTTCGTCTATTTGAGTAATCATAAAATAGGCGAGATGTCTTCACATTTCGAAGGACGAAGTTCCTCTGAGGAGTTTTTAATACAACTATTTGCTACCTCAAAGAAAACGTAGCGTGTATGATAAATGTAAATTCTTTGGATGTTAAAGAATGTTGTATGTAAAGTCGCTACTGCCCTCGAAACGTTTGAATCTGAGTTTTAGTCTCGTCACGTGGTGTTGATATATTCGATTATAGTTTAGCACACTCGAGAATGAAATTGTCCGACGTCTTTATTCAGCCCTTAGTTTGCGAGACCTAGTAGGCCCATGGCCGGTTCCTCCTTCCTGTGACTTGAATCCACGTACTTTACGGCACATTGGCGCCTTGTCCAGAAGCAGTGACACACGCTTCCAAGCTTCCCCGATTCTCCGAGATACGCAAGAACAGGTTACACAGTCTGGGATTATTTCTGTCTGCAGTTGTAATGAAAGCAGAATTTGGATTCCAGAGAAATCCTTAGATTTTGGCCTGGATTTGCGTGTGATTTTTCCCCCGCGCTGTAATTACAAGATGTCTTATGGGATGTTGCGCCGTGTAGCCTGGTAGAAATTTACGGACGTTTCAGAGGTGTTTGCTGTCTGTTCGTAGTGTTGATGGAAGTATAAATCACCTCTGAAACGTCGGTAAACTTCTGAGTGTACAGCGCAAACATTCCAGTAAACATATTCAGTGATATTTGAAGTTATTGCAGTGGTTAGTGTGAAAATTTAATATTTTTTTTGGTTGAAATTTGGCACTAATAACGCGCGTGTTACGTGAAGAACCGACTCGCTGGAAGTTACGTGGTGGGGAATCCGCATTAGGGGATTCCCGATCAATTCAGGAAGTTGGCCCCCATGTGTCCAGGTTGAATCAGCGACTTCTCTGACATCTGTTGTCTGTTACAGGTGAAACTTGACAAGAACCAGAACGGGAAGCCGTCGAAGGTGATTCACATCCGGAACATCCCGAATGAGGTGACCGAAGCCGAGATAATTCATCTGGGCATCCCGTTCGGACGCGTCACCAATGTTTTGGTGTTGAAAGGGAAAAACCAGGTATGTTTTGAAACGAAGCCTAACTTAACTTTGTGAAAGACTCTCTGATGGCTGAATGGTGGATAAACCATATCTTCTGTCAGCGTTTCGAGAACATTTTCTGCTGTCATCCTCAGGGTAACAAATCCTATTCTTTATCGCGCGTTCTTCTGTCACTGGGCAGGGGGACTCCTCTCAGCGGCCTGTTTTCTTACGAGAGGACACAGTTGAATTACGGAGATTATAACGAAGCACTAGTTGTGTGATCGTCCAACAGATGGCAGGGGAACTCAACAAGTGCTGACTTGAGATACTGTTGGTAGAACTGCAAATTTGTATATTTTAATCGCACTTGAGATACTGTTGGTAGAACTGCAATTTGTTTATTTTAATCGATTTTTTTTTCAATAACTTTACGCATTTAACAGGATTTATTTCTCTTACGACACACATTCGCATCTGAAGTATTGTTTTTAAAGAACCTAAGTTTAAAAAAAAGGGCAACATTATTGTTTCTTACGTATTACGCCGTTTAAGACCGGTATTACATAACCTCCAAAGTGTGTATGTAGGTCTGTCTGTGTTTTAACTTTAAATAAGCCTGTTTTACACACAGTGCATTCATGTATCGTAAGATTCCCAGAATAAACAGCTATTATTACTCTTTACGGCATTAACCAGTTGATCTTCGTAATGGAGACGCACTGTGTTTACTTTGAGGTACGGGCTGAATGTTTAAATATTATTTGGATCGTCTCTCTCTTCTTCAATGTATAGGTCTGTGGTGTGTTATATGCACTCGGCCTCGGATCACTGCGCTATATGAGACTAATCTGATATCCTCTCTTGTTCAAACCATTACTCTGCAAATTCAGGAAACGTGAACACTTTTTAGGAAATTGGAGAAGCGGGGAAACATGTTAAAGTTGACTAAAAAATAGGTTCTATTAGGTTAGCGAATATCAGGTTTGGTTTTTTTTATCTTCCAGTTTCGAAAGCGATGTATAACGTTATAAGTCAAAATATGTTTCGATATTAGGTATCAGATGTTTCGTATGAAAGTATGAAGGTTGTTATATGCATTTATTAATATTGAGGTTATTTAGCGATGCTATCTCTACGCAATAGGTTATATAATATGCTAAGTATCTGTGATGTTAAAATATTTAAAGGGATTTATGTAAAATGTCAAGGATTTATTTAGTATTTTACGAAGGTTTTTGAACTTTTCGGGTTTAAGAATTTTCGATTCAGCAATGCGTGTTTGTTTATACATACTTCTGAATTTGCGAGCATTGTTTTTGGTATGACAAACAAACAACGTCGTATGTAAATACAGGAAGTTCTCTGACGTAGTAATTTTACTTCGCAGGATTAATAGCTCTTATGGAGAGTAATTTTTGTTTTTCAAATCTGAAACTTCTTGACGATGGTGAAGAGTGAATTGAATAAAAATTTTCTTGGATATTATCCATCGTCTAGTAAATATAAAACGTAGGGATTAGCTCTATCTAGTGGGCCCAACTGAGTAGGAACCTGAGACGGAGATAGAGTCCCATCTCCGAAACGTCGTTTTACGTTTTATATTTACTATACGATGGATAATATCCAAGAAAATTTTTATTCAATTGAATTTTTGGTTTTTGTTTTGTGATTTGTGTTTTTGGGAGTCGTAAATCAATCAGATTTTTTTTTTCGTACATAGACATTAATGGGAAATTAATTTTCGATTTACAACTGTTCACCTTACGAACAGATTCCGTCGAACGAATTGTGCTCGTATTTCGAGGGACGGGTGTGTACGCCGACATGTGATTTGCCGCGTTACTTATGGCATCTGAGCTACTAGAAACTTCTGTTAATGCCGTTATCGTGCGGTTGTTGGAAAGGAGTATATAACGTTCGTCGGGTAATGGTGGGTAACGCACATCGCTTGCTTCGAGGCTCGAATCCAACTGGGATGTGATGCTACCTCAGTCAGTAACCGCGATTCGGTGGTCGGAGCAAACTTTGCGCTGCTCTCAGCATAACGATATATATAT